ATATATATATATATATATATATATATATATATATATATATATATATATATATATTTTTTATTAATTTACATATAACAAGAAAATTCTTTTTAACATATAAAGTTATTCTTTTTAATGTACATTAATGTACATTAATGTTTTAAAATCTTCCATTTAATCATCACTCGTATTTAATATGCGGAAAGAGGAACGTGATAAGAATACGCTTTTCTTTACACGTCTCTCTACGTGTCTTTTACATGTTTAGTCAATAGTTGTAAAATAGTATAATCAGTTTTTTTAATGTTAACTAAGAGATATGACACGCATGCAAATTTCCGATCATTTCTTCTTGGTGTCACGATTTTTATCGTTTCCTATTAAAGAACAGGAAACGAACAGGAAACGTTTGTAATGTCACGTATGTATATACGTATAGTCATATTAAAAATTTCAGAGAGCAAGAGAAAAGAGAGAGTTTATCCTTTCTTATTCTTGATTTTCATACAAAACTAATATAAGTAAATATATATTTGTTTATATTTTTGATACATTATGTCGATGATCAGAATAAGTACAATTTTAAACAAGTTATTGTCTTATAATGATTCACATATTTACATAAATTAATGAAAATTCAAGAAATGACGGAATATTTCGATATAGAACTTAAAAATAAATATTCTAAACACTCAATTGTTTTTTTAATTTTTTAAATTTAAGTTTTCGCAAAAATGATTTTAAGTTTTACGTTTCGTCATAAAAATTTTGCAAACTATTTTTGGAAATGTTGGAGCTTGATTTTAAAGATAAAAATTGTTTACAATTTTTTCTTCTCGAAGCCAAAGTATGAAGTACACAATGCAATATTTTGCAAACATTTTTTTAAACAATTTGCAACATACCTGTGGTTAATTTTATAAAAAAACAAAAATTAACATATTTTATTCAAACTTAGAATTTTTCAAAATTATCATCTGATAATAAAATAAATTGCATTAGAAAATTAAAGATTTCAATTTCTTGATGATTCTTCATTTTTGTACAATACTCTAAAAGTTATTTTTTATGCACATATTCAATGTTTAAATCAGTACCAATAATCTATGCCTTTATTAATGATTTTAAATTAAATCGATAAAATATATATCATTGTTTATGTTTTATTATATATACATGTATATGTATATATAAATAACTAATATAAAATGTATATATGTATGTATGTAAATGTATATATAAATAACTAATATAAAAAACTGATAATTTAATAAAATTATTATAGATGTCTGGACAAATTTATTGCAATTATTCATCGCATTTGTACTTACCAAATAGAAGATGTGGATAAAATAAAAGATAAAATGCAAAAAACTTTGCAAATAAATAATAAATAATATTGTTATAAATAATATTGTTATTGAATTTGCAGCAATATTGCAGCGAAGTATATTTGCAATAATTCAATTGCTCAAAATTTAAAAACTACTAGCACTTCCTCTGTTATTGAACTTTTTTCTTAATTATTTGTATGTAAAATTATGGTACGATAATAAAACTACTTTAAGCTATGTCGGCATCGGAAAGCATCCTATACTGTGTGCAAATTCGTTACAGCTGCTGCTTTTATACACGTATGGCAGATCAATGAGTCATCATCAATGAATGGGTTTCTTGCAGATGGCGTCACTGTTCAAATTCAAATAATAAAGTCTGCAGTTCTCGCAATTTCTGAAAGTTTTTTTCATAAAAATTTAAAAATATTTCTATATTTAAAGCATAACGTTTGGGAGACATTTTTTCTCATTGTCAGAAGAGTTGACGACTTAAAGAAATAGAATATTTATAAAACATATCTTAAGTTCATATTTAAGAAATATAAATTACATATCAATGCAGGTTACAGAAAATTTAATATTTTACAAAATGTCGATTTATTTTTAACACGGATTTGTTTCATCAAAATAAACTTTCTATGAGAGAAAAAAATATAACAAAATAAAAGAGATAACTGTTTCAAAATATACGCATATTTAATTTTAATTTTCGATACATATAAAAAGAGATTTTTTTTACAACTTTTACTTTCTTTCTCCTAGTTTCCTTACTTTTATACAGTCTTTTAACTATTGCTATTTCTTTCAAATTAAAATATACTCAAAACATTTAAAAAAGAATTTACAAATATTTAAAATTTTTTGTCTTTTTTATTTTTTATTTAATATTTTTTTCCTGGTTTGTTTATTTGCTTTCAATACATTTTTTGTTCCTTTTTTTCAATGTTATTACTGTCATTTTTGATAAACTATCTTCATCTTTATCAGTGATAGATTATTATGATTCCCTATCTTTATATCACAAAATAGCGAAAATGAACTATCAGTTCTGCGAATTTTCGTTTCCATGAACTCTAAGAATTTTTTCGAGGATGGTTATCAGTCTCTTGCACATTGCCTCGCTGATAACAGCTTGATCTTCTAACACTTTCGTCAATCCTTTATACAATTCTTCTGCTTGTTCGTCCAGCTGTGTTAATTTTGGCGCTATGATTTTGCACGAATTTTCTTTTTCCAGCTTCGGCATCTTCTCTTCTCTCTCAGATTCCTTATATTCAATTATCATTATTAGCATTTAGTGCATAACTAACTTTCTTTATTTATATATAAATTTATATTCATTGTATACGGAATGTCACATTTTAATCTTTTAATATAACTATATCTGAAACTATTAATTATTTAAAAATTCAAAAAAATTATTTTGCCCTAAAGGAAACTTTTTTTACAATAATACGATTTTATTTTGTAATATTCAACAAGAAATAATCTTTTATTGTACGTCATTATGGATAATTGAATTTGCTTTTGCGTAAAATATAATCTTGGATAAGAAAGTTGGCCATGAAGTAATTATCTTTTATTTTTTTAATTCAAACTTCTTATTGTTACTTACGTTATACTCATAACATATGTGCTTGTCATGATGAGTTCGGATAGCTTTAGCCAAGTATCTAAGATATTCCTGCACATTTGAGAAGCCTTTGAAGATATAGTACGACCTCGAGGATAAGTAGGCTTGCATAACATTGCTAATGACAGGTATTTTCGCTAAAGCCTTCGCTATTTCGGCGACTAGCTCTTCTGGGCATATATGTCCTACGTACTCAAAGGCCTCTAAAGCTTCTTGGCGTACCCAGGGGTTCTCATCTTCTAATAAGCGACTGAACAATCCTGTCAAAGTGGTCACGATGTTTTGGATTTTGCAACGATTGAGATTTTCGACATTTCGTCGTAGAAAATGGCAAACTTTAATCTTGCCTTGAGACGGTAGATGAACGCATAAAGTCGCAATGGATGTTAGAATCTGAAATACAAAACACATGTGTATCTTATTTTTTAATTGAGATTTTCATCATTACAAAAAAACTGTTTCCATCAAAAATTAAATAGATATGATAGATTTTTATTATACCGCACAAAAATTATCATCATGAAGACTTTTAAGATGAGTGGCATCAAACAGGATGACAACGAAGTCGGACAGTAACTTTAGTTGTTTATCCTCGCACATAATAATCGCCTCTGCTACAAAAATCCATATTTTAGTCAGGACATCGATAACGTCTTTATTATCGTTATAATCCGCCGTCATCATTTCGGACAGGATATGCGTCTAAAAACAATATAAACAGAAATTTTGAATATTTAAGCAATACAGAATTTAAAAATTTCATGCTAAATTACAATTACATTATAAAGACTGAAAGCAAAAGCAGATAAATAAATAAATTTGATAATCTAATATCTCTTACAAGATGTTTCCAATTACGAGCAGAAGGATATTCTTGTAAATCTAAAAAAGCCTTTGATAAATTCTCGAATTTACGGTTTGATCGTTCCAACGAAAAAGCTTTAGTTTTCGCTATTAATAAATGAAGAACAGACGCATCTGTACAATCTGTATCCAGATTAATAAGTTTATTGAGCAGAGTGAATTTTACGTCTTCGTTCAACAGATCATATAATCTGACAATCACATTGTTTAGCATGATTGCCTCTACGCTATTTCGTCGTTCTTTCAAAGCGACAAAGACTTTAATCAGATATTTGATGTGATCGACACACAACTGTGAAGAGCCGAGTCTAAAATAAACAACGTTATACAAAAGAAGATTGTTATGATTGTTGATAAAACTTTTTTACATAATATTATTAATTAATGTTTTATTAATATGAATATACTGAATTATACTTATATGTCAATTAACAAAAATAAATAAATAATAACTTATTAATTGCACTGATTAAGAATTTGTTCAATAATTGTACTGATGTTAATATAACGTATTAACCGCATTTAACAGTTTACCTGCCAATAAAGCACCAAACATCCGAACTTAATAGAGAACTCCAAAAATGATCAGACAATAAATATTTTAATAAAAGCAATTCGAGTGCGTGAAAGTCTTCCGATGGAATCTGACACACCAAATTGCAAACGGCTACCAGAGTCGCCTCATAAATGCCAACCAAACGTGGCCGTTCGCCAATCCCTTGACTACCTAGCAATTGCAAGTCTCCAACACAGAGTTCTTCTTCGACTATAACCGATCATGAGCATACAATTAAAACATTAGAAAAATTTTAATGATAACTTTATTCACTGTAACTCTGGAATAGCAAGAAAAGATATATCAAATATATGTATGTATAATTAAAAAAATTGTAATTTCTCTCTTATTAAACTATTTAAAACTTAAAAATTTTTAAGTTCTCAGAATTAATAAAATTCTTAAAAATCTTAATATTCTTAAAATTCTTAAAATCTATAATTTTTTTGTTACGTACAATGTTGTATATATATGAAAGCGACGTCCAAAATTGAATCCGAGCCTAAAGACCAGTGATGTTCATACGGTATGCTATTCAATTTTTTCATGACAGCAATCGTCAATAAATGATAATTTAAACAATGTACATATTGATCACGAGGAATTTGCCTTCCATATTCGAAATATGCCTAAAATATAAATAATTTTATCATCTAGAAAAATATAAAGATCGATTTTTCTTTCATTATATAAGAAATATATAGTAATGATATATAAACTAATACATATAGATATATTTCTCTTTGACACTTTTATCAAATATTACATAGACGCCAAATTATTTTGTATTATTTATGAAAGTTTACATTATTTACTATTTTATGAATGTTTATGTATTAAAGATTTGGAAATTAAAATTAAAAATAAAACAAAATATTTATATTATAAATATATTATAAAATATTGGCCAAATTATTGCATTATCATTTATTTTATTTCTTTTAATACTTAAACTTTGTGTATATAATCACTTACCTGCTTGAAGTCATCGTGATTGAAAATAACATTTAAAAAAGATGCGGCATTAACTGAGATTGTTCTTTCACCATCTTTCATTAAACTTGAGCATGAAAATCTATAACATAAAAGTAATAATTATTTAATTTTTTAATATTCCAATATATTTTTTTAATATAATATTTTTAATATAATATAATATTCCAATTTTTCTTTCTATAATATGATGTTATGCATAATATTCATAATATCTTTATATGTAATTTACAAAGAGTTTTTTGCAGGAAAGACTGATTTTGTTTCAATAAACTTCAATAAACTTCAATAAATTTGTAACTAATGAGACAAGTCAACCCATGCATTTGTGCCAGGAATTCTATCAAGTCTGACATCATCGCGTGTGTGAGAGATGCATTGTAAGATGATTAATTTCTCAAGGATTCTCAGCAGACGCATAGCAACCATTTACATTTCGTTCCGCGTTTTTATTCTCCTGATCCTGCACCTCTATACATTTATAATTAATTAAATATAATATCAATGTAGAGATAAAGATACAAATAAAGATATAAAACATGTGTACATTTATTTTTTTAATTAATAAACAATTTATTATCAGCTGGATTCAGCAAATTAAAATAAATGTGTAATATAATATACCTTGATGACAGATAAAAGACAAGACACATCCCTCGCCATTCGAATGATATGCGTCGCGATATTATTTGAAGTGATTTTGCTCTGATTAACGATGGCCAGTTTGGCGAATGCCTCAGATAACTCAACAAACGTCTTGGTATCCATCCCATTCGCGATAGAAGCAATGCTACCGTACGCATCAATCACTGAGATATTAATAAAATTACATTAAAAAAATTAATTAAATTTTAGGAATTTTAGAAATTACAATAAAGCTTATTAAAACATAAGAAAAAAAAAATTTTTTTTCTGTTAAGCGAAAAATCGATGCAGAACTGACCAAAGAACTTGCAAGAATAATTTCTCTCATTTTGTGATCAGCGAGAGAATTATTCTGTATTTCTAAAATAACATGTTTTCAAGTAATTTTTCGATGTTCTTAAGAAACTCGTTTTGCGAATGTGTTTGCGTATTCATAAATTTCTTTCTTTTGTCCACCAGAGTTATTAGAGGAACATTCTGAGGCGTGAATGCGCCTATGATAAGGCGCCTGGAAATTCCTAGGTTAAAGAATCGTTAGACTGTAATAGGATCGCTCTTACCTTTCATCAACAGCTCCGTTTCCGATTGCACATCCGTGTCGAAGACGATTACGCCGTTCAAAGTGGCAAAGAATAGTTTAAAGATCGCGCCTGCTTTTACGAACAGATTCTTCAATTCTTGCATCACATCGTTCAACAAAGCTCCGTATTTTCGACTGTGTGATTAACAGTGTTCCTTTATTTTCTACATTAATCGATAAACTTACAGCATGCACAATATCACAAAAAATCACTAACAATTAATTATTTATTTAATAACAGAAGGACTCTTTAGTATAATGATAAAAGCGAATCGATAAGAGCGTTGATACATAACATTAATAATATCGTAAAAGTATTATAAAAGTATAATAATAAATTAAATAAATTGAGATAAATTAAGGCAAAATTATAAAATAAGAGCTTAGATTAAAAATTAATTTTAATGCTAATAAATAAAAAATCATTATACTAATCAAAAAACCAATTATTGATTATTAAATATATGTAAATTTGAAAGACATTCACTTTAGAGATAGTAAGTTTAGTGGGTTCATAATAGAAAAAAATATAATATTGTGTATCTCTGCAAAGAGTTTATAAGCGTATGTTGTTTGACGAAATTTATCTGGCAAATACCTGGCTTTGCAATGCTCGAAAATTATTTTCGTCGTATCGGGTAGAATATCGCATAACGATGCTACGTAAGCAGCTCGAACTTTCTCAAGTGCAGAAACATGTTCCACGCATTTTTTCCAGAAGGCGAGAAACCCGTCGCAGATTTGTAACTTATACTTGATGTTATCCAGAACATCGATTTTTGCATTATTTTTTGTTATGGTATCGTTTATGACTTCTATGATCTTTAATCACAAAAATTGAAACTATTTCAACATTGAAACTAAAACAATAAATCTCATATCTAATCGAGATACTGAGTCGCTTCGAATGTATGAATTTAATGTATGAAGATTATAATTAATTTGTGAATATAATTAACTTTGAATGCATAATTTTTTAACAAAATTTGCAAAAAAACAATCAGTAAAATAATAATTACAATAATTTTAAATTAAATCCTCAAGAGATAATTTTAAAGTTTTAAAAAACTATTTGGAAATAAAAAATGTAATTAAAAGCATTAGAAAAATATCATAAAGAAATATAAAATAAAGTTTTAAAATAGTTTTTATTATCAAAAGGTTAAAAGCTTAAAATATATAAATACACATATAAAAAGATTTTTAATAAGATATATAAAGATTTTCTTTACAAAATTACCTGCAATAGAAAATGATGAGCTTTCGGTAGAA